TGTTTGGTCATGCACTTTCTTGGTGTCCTTAGAGTGTGAATTCTGCCAGTCAGGAGACCTGTTTCTCTCAGTATGCCATATGTCTCTACTCCTTAATGGCGACTTTTTCTTTTTTTGATATGGGGGGTCTCACTCTATCACCCAGGCTGGAGTGCAGTGACATAATCCTGACTCACTACAACCTCCGCCTTCCAGGCCCAAGTGACCCTCCCACCTCAGCCTCCAAAGAAGGTGGGACTACAAGTATGCACCGCCACGCCCAGCTAATTTTTGTATTGTTTGCAGAGATGGGGTTTTGCCACCTTGCCCAGGCTGGCCTTGAACTCCTGAGCTCAAGCAATCTGCCCACCTCAGCCTCCCAAAGTGCTAGGATTACAGGCGTGCACCACCCTGCCTGGCCAATGATTAAAAAAAAAAAAAATTAAGATAGGACCAAGGAGAGGTGAAGATCTGGTTGCTTTATGAATTTGTACCCAGTTGTTTCTTACTCTTGCGGGCATTGGTGATTGACAACAGAATTAGACTAAATATTAACTGTCTGTAACAGCTTCCCCTTTCCCAACCCCCATTTTAAATTTTACTGCAAGTAAAATGAGTAGAGATGGTGACTGCCCTGAACGCTGCCACCCCTTATCCCAGTCCCTGAGGTGCCATTTGAAATATGGCTCCTCCTCATATTCTAGACCTGGACCTTTCCTCATGCCATCAAAACTACTGGTTGTTACTCCATTACCACAATAAGGTGTTCAAGTCACCCACTAGGGAGCTAACTTAGCTAGGGCCTGACCAATTTCAAGGGTTGCAGTTTCCAGTACTGGTGTCTGTGTTTTAATGGCAGCCTCTTGTGCTGTGAGTGGCATAACTGAGCAGACAGCCCAAAAGAAGAATATTTTAGGAGATGGAAGCCCTTCATCACCATAGGTAACTCCAAATGAGCAGCTCCTTGTGCCACTTGTTTGCAGGAGGCCAGTACACAGCTGCCTCACAGATGAGTGGGATCTGTTTTCTGATGTTCTGTGAAATCACAGTCTTTAAGTCTTACCCTACAAATTGCAAGGAAAACCACAATAGAAAGTAAAAGTGATAAATGTCAGAAATCACTCTTTTTCTGTCCACTGTCCTCTGTCTTATTATCCCTCTTTCAACTATAAGGCACATGTCAATTTCTTATGTTTAAAACAAACAAGTAAAAAATTGCCTGTGCTTGAAAAATGAATATTTCAATACCATAGAGACCTTCCATTAGCCTTCAACTTCCATACTCAGAGTGCATAAATGAAACACTGTTTCTCAAAATCATTTCATTGATAAGTTGCAGTGAATGTTTATTCCTTTGTGAGCTCCGGGATTTCAGGCAAGGTGTAATGCTCAAAGCTTCTTTGAACTTTTTGTTTTCTCATATGCACAAATGGGAATAATAACACCTACCTCATAAGATTGTTGTGAAGTTGATTAAATAAGATCATACATGTAAAGTACCTGGCACAGTGCCTAGGACATAAGTAGGAGCTCGACAAATGTAACCCCCTTTCTGGTTTCTTAGAAAATAGCCAACTAAACAGTTGAGGAGATTAGGGATAGTTTCATGGAAAAGATAATGTTTAAACAGGTCCTTCAAGTTCAAGCATGGGTAGAATGGTGTAATGGAGAGATGTATTAAAGTGGTATTTAAGGTAAATTAATGCAACAGACAGGGTTGGAAGGCTGGATGCAGGGAGAGCCATTATGTGCTTTTCACATGTGTCTAGGAACAATGAAGGGGGAAAGTGAATATTGGAAACATATCAAAGACAAAACTCAGAAGAGTTATTGATCTCCTGGATTCAGGAATCTCGTAAGAACAGTTGAAGACCAAGTATTAAGCTTAATGAAAGTACTCAGTTAAGGAGGAATAAGAGGAAGCTGAATGGGTGAAGAACTCCTGAAAGAGGGCTACGAAAGATGGAATGAGATGGAGAGTACCTGCCACAGAGAAGGGAGGAGCACTGGCACAGAGGACTCACGCCAGACATAGCAAAGAGGCCAAGAGAGGGTGTGGCGTGGCTTGCATTTCAGCACTACTGAGCCTTTTCTCTTGGCCTACTTCCTCCTGTCCCTTTCTCCATGCCTTTTCCTGTCTTTCCCGTCGTTAAATGTTGAAAGCAGAGCTAGAAGTGTCGAAAGCCAGCCCTTTACCTTCCTTCTCCGAAATAGCCTTTCTTCTGTTTGGTGTACAAAAAGCCCTGAACTCTGAGAGCTCGAGCAGCCTCTTAATCTCTCTGAGTCTCAATCTCCTTACCCCAAATTGGAATCATACCTACCATCTCCCCTGCATTTGGAAAAGTATGAAGCAGGGATACAATCTAAAAGTGCTTTCATCAAGGACTTGTGCAAACGAGAGTCCTGGTGTCTTCATCCATTTTTGTGTTCCTATGAAGGAATACTTGAAGTTGGGTAATTTATAAAGAGAAAAGGTTTATTTGGTTTGTGATTTACCAGGTTGTACAAGAAGCATAGCACTAGCAGCTGCTGCTTGTGAGGGCCTCAGGAGGCTTCCACTCCTGGCAGAAGGCAAAGGGAGAAGGTGTGTGCAGAGATCATGTAGAGACAGAGAGAAAACAAGAGTCCTGGAGGGAGGTGCCAGGCTTTTTGCGCAACCAGCTGTCACCAGAAATAATAGAGCAAGAACTTACTCACTACCATGAGGATGTAACCAAGCCATTCATGAGGGATCCACCCTCATCACCCAGACACCTCCCATTAAGCTGCATCTCCAACACTGGAGATTTTTGTTTTGTTTTGTTTGAGACATGGTCTTACTCTGTCACGTAGGCTGGAGTGCAATGACAGGATCACGACTCTCTGCAACCTCTGCCTCCCAGGCTAAAGTGACCCTCTCACCTCAGCCTCCTAAGGAGTTGGAACGACAGGCCCCACACCACCATGCCAGTCAATTTTTGTGCTTTGGGAGGGTAGAGACAGGGTTTGCCATGTTGGCCAGACTGGCCTCAAATTCTCGGGCTCAAGCCATCCACTGGTCTCAGCCTTCCAAAGTGCTGGGATTAGAGGCATGAACCGCCATGCTCAGCTGTGAATCATATTCCCACATGAGATTTGGATGGGTGAAATACCCATACAGTAGGAGCTGGTAGATATCAAGCATGTAACCTAGGTAGATAGATGGTTGCTAAAAGGTTGTCTTTAAATCAGTTACTTTTTCTCATTTGTAGATTTTTTACAGATTATTTCTTTGTAAGCTTAGTGATCTGTTTTAAATGATTGTTATAAATGCTGAGAATCTCAACAGGGAATTGAAGGTGTTTGTACAGCATTGTGCCTCTTAGATGTAATTGTCATTTGAACCTGAAATTATCTTTACTTTCATGCCTAGTTAGTAATCATTTGATTACATGATTACCCAGAGTGAACATAGGAAAGAGTAACTGAAGGAGAAAAGTGGCTCAAGCTTTTTCTTTTCTTCTAGATAAGTATATTTCAGCTTGTTTCAATGCATAAAATACAAGTCTATAATATTCACAATGGCTTAAAATGCTACAAAATACTTGCATTTCTTAAAGTTTTTAATACGCATTTTAGTCCTCAAAATCAATCATGAGAAAGTTAAAGTAGAGCACATGTGGAAATTTTGAAGTTAATATCTAGGAAGTTAATATCTAGACTGTAAATGAGGAAATGTGAGATGCAGATGTGTCAGGTAAGTTTTGCGCATTTCCCAGAGTCTTACTTTGATTTGTTTTGTTTGTTTTGTTTTTGAGGTAAAGTCTTGCTCTGTTGCCCAGGCTGGAGTGCCGTGGTGCGATCTCGGCTCACTGCAACCTCCACCTCCTGGGTTAATGCGATTCTCCTGTCTCAGCCTCCTAAGTAGCTGGTACTACAGGAATGCACCACCACACCCACCTAATTTTTCTATTTTTAGTATAGATGGGGTTTTGCCATGTTGTCCAGGCTGGTCTCAAACTCCTGGCCACAGCTGATCCACCCACCTCGGCCTCCTAAAGTTTTGGAATTACAGGCGTGAGCCACTGTATCCGTCCTTATTTTGATTTTTAAGAAAAATTTTTAAAAGTTATCTTTCAAAATTTTTTGCCCTCAAGTTTTAGAAGGCAAGCATAGATAACAGTGCTTTTCCTTCTGATATAGTCACTGTGGAGAGAGGGTAGGTTTGGTTCATACTTACATTACACCATCACTTCATTTTCAGTAGCAGTGTGCTAAATTGTAATGTTCTTTGTTTTTCCTATATTGTCCAGCATCTGTGGCACATAAAGGAATTTGAACATATTTCTCATAGAAACCTCATAAATTAATGATTAATCCCTGATTAATTCTTATATCCTTCATTATATTCTTGATTGTCCATTTCTTAGACACATGTGCATGCACACAAGTTAGTGAGTATACTGTATAATTGTTACTGAGTTAGAAGTGGTGTAAATAAGTGTTTTTATGAACAGTTATAAAAGTCTTCAGTAAAAAGGATCTGTTTGATACCATTAGGTGTGTTACACATAAACGTGCATGCACATTCACCCTTCTGTGGCAGTGTGGAGCCTTGCAGTGCTGTCCACAGAACCAGAATGAACAGAATAATGCAAGCAGCTTTACCGTTACTATTTCATAAAAGCCCTGTAGATCATAGCATGGTACTTTCCTGTTAGAATTCTATAGCCTTGCATTTGGCGTTGTATTTTACCACAGACATACAGTTATTAGAAGAAAATATTTTGTATACAGCTCACGTCCCATATTTCTTCCCTAAGATTGTCAGGTAAGTACCTGATTCTTCAAAGTTGAACTTCAAACTGGAATCCCACAATTCAAATGAGAGTCCTAGCCATTCCTTTTTTTTTAGTTTTGAGTTTAGAATTCTCATTTCCTGTCTCTTAGTAAAGAACATTTTGTACTTTAAAGTTTGCAGATGTTTGAAAAGGATGTGTGTTCTTTGGATTTAGGCATTAATAAGGGTTCCTTATAACTTCTTTCTCTTTTCTGTTTTCCAGATATGGGAAAATAGTCTCCACAAAGGCAATATTGGATAAGACAACGAACAAATGCAAAGGTATGCTTTCTTGGCTGGTTATTTGGTAAATGATAGCTTTAGAAAAATGATGGAATTTAAAACCTGATCTTTGGTTTCAAAACCACCTCCATTTTCTTAGCAACTAGATCTTATATATCACCCAGTTTCTGTCTTGCACAGTGTCAGCATATTGCTTACGTTTGTCCCTGGTTAGGTTTTGGCTAGAAACCCAACAGCAGCTAGCAGTTTGCCAGAATTCCAGATTTGACGCCAGTAGAGTTAACATGCAAAATACTGGTTGGCATTTAGCCCTTGCTTTTTAAAGGGGAGTAGAGTTAGAAAATAGCTTTTCTTTCCTGAGCCTGAGGAGATTAGAGCTGCTTACTGAAAACCATTGGACTGTACTAAAGAACTGAAAAGATTACATATTGTGCAAATTGGCTCTATTAATTAGAATAGAGTAGTTTTAAGCAGTACTTAATTACATGTTTCAATACTCCCAATTGTTCTCTGCTGAATGCCTGTTGACAATATTGGCAGCGGGGAGGAGAGAACCATTTTCACTGACCAAATTGTAATAGGGAAGGGAGGTCATGCACCCCTTTGAAATATGCTGCTGCATTAATTTGATGCACTGACCTTCAGTTTTCCATGTAATTAGGATGAGCTCATCCAGCCCCATGAGCTGGAAGAGGAGGCGTCTACAGTAGGCAGCCCTGATGCTCTGTGTTTCTGATTTTTAATGATCCAGCATCTTAACAATAGGCATGTGATTTCTAGGAAAAGGGAAGAATAGAGTCAGCTGACTTTGAATCTAACTATTGACCCCTTGAATTGAAATAAGTTGACAGGAATAGACAGAGAAGGCAAATCTCCTCATTAATTAGACCCCAGTTTTTCAAGTAGTAGTGACGGGGCAGTGGCTTAGCACAATCTGAAAAAGGCAGAGAACATAAATGAACCCTATGGTAGGGCCTCTCCTTATAAGTCAAGCATTTCCTTTAATCTAAACTTGAAGTGGTTCATTGTATTTCTGTCTCTTCTTCAAAGTGTCTAAATGTAAAGGAGCTATTGTGGCAAATAGCTAAGCCCATGTTTTATCAACATGGCACATTAAGGCAGTTTTGCCTTGGGACAGTGAATAGAGGGTGCTTTATAGAGAGTGGTACCCAATAAATATTTTAAATGAATTAAACTAGAAAGAGTCAAATTGTAGACTGACATGCATATACTTAGTTTCCAAGATTAGTCTTATTTAGCATTTATAAATGATTTGGGAGAGCTGAGACACAGGAAAACAATCTTTTGGTTTTATAAAGAAAAATAGACTCTTGCAGTCATAAAAACAGGAAGCTGATCACCAACATTACTTTCAAACAAGAGAGAAATCAGAGTAGCCAAGTGGTTTTAGCCATATCCAACCTCCCCTCTTTTCCTTCCCCACCCCAAAATAAATCTTACATGTCGGCTCAGTGTGTTAAAAAGCAGAGTTGCCCTAATGAAGTAAAAGAAAGGACCCAGAGGTTAAATTCCTCACCACACCCCTGAACTGAAAACCACACTATTTTATACTCTGCTCCAAAAGCAACTTATTCCATAGAAGCCAAAATTCCTCCAAGTGCTCTACATGATCTAGAAAAGATATGGGTAAAAATAAACTAATGCTAAATCTAACATGTTGTCATAATGCAAACCCTTAACAGTTGTTAAGGGTCCACAGTGGAGAAATGTATGGACTTCTAACTAAGGGTAGGACTAATTCAGAACTGATGTTAAATACAAGAAGTCTCCTGGAGACCTTCCTTTAAAGTAGTTCTTAGGAGACACTGCTTTTGGGTGTGTGGGCAGTAATAGAAACCTCCCAGGGCTCTCTGCCTCACACGAGCCTCCCAGCAATAGGTGTCAACAGATATCTGGTGGGTTGAGAGGGTGGGTGAGTGAGTGAGTGGAGAGGGTAAGAGTGGGTTTATAAAATCCTAGAAGTGAGAAAAAAGTAACTTCAGGACAAATGAGAAGAAATAACACTTAACTTAGCTCATAATAAAGTTAGATAACATGTTACCCAAGATAACTTGACGTGATAGGTAGATAGGTAGGCATAAAGATGATTGATAAATGAATATAAATAAATGCATAAAACATTATAGAATATTAATATAAATTAAAGCTACTTGTGTTATATACTAATTTTTTGAAATTAAATCAAAGAACCTCATATATGGGAATGAGAAATCTTACGGGGTTATAGAACATCTTTTGCCACAAAACGTATTTTCGGAACCTGTATTCTCAAGAGAATTTATCTAAAGGAAACATTAGATAGAATAACATTTTCCTAAGTTGTTAAATTTTAAAATTCACAATTCGGTTGCTGTTTTACATTTTAATTTTTAATCAAAGTTTAGCCAACAAAAGGCATTTATAGGCTCTCCAGTACTGGTAAATGTGGCAGTTCAGGACCAAAAAAAAAAGCTCACAGAAGATTGGTTATGAAATTGATTGATTAATTATTTACACTTACAGATGTGCATATAAGACCAGAACACTTAACACACATGAGCAAAAATAGTTTCAGTATGAATTAGACCAACAGGAAAAATAAGGCTGAAAGTGGGCAGCTTTAAGTTATTACCAAATCGGGCCCTGTGTTTCCTAGTGGCCAAGGCAAAAATAAAACACATAGCTCTTCCTATGATTCAGTCATCACAATGTGAGAGAAAAATACAGGGAGCAAGAGTAACATAACTATTCCTGGTCGTGAAACCTGAGAGGAATTCTCCTGGAAGCCTCAGTGAGAGGGCGCCATGTTACTTAGTGAACCCTGCCTTCAAAAACATCTTTACATCTATTTATATAATCAAATCCATAGAGCCTGCATAACTCAAATTTTATATAGTCTTCTATTTACTTGAAAGTAATACAGATAGAAAACATGAAGGAGCACAAGGTTTCATACTTAACTATTATGTTTGTCTTCAGCAAATGGTTATAAAAACAGCCCTAGTGTAGTAGGCATTGGGAAAGGCCAGAAAAGGATGTGAACAGTTAAGCAAAATACAAGCATTATGGATTTCTCTATAAGAAAATAATAGATAAAAGAATGCTCATATCACCTGAGTAGATAGTAACTTCAAATACAATAACATCAAAATTGAGATCTGTTTATTGTAATTTGACAATAGCAACATTGAAGGAAAAATCTTAAATATCCATCAGTAAAAGCTGTATCTTTTTCATTGTAGCTGGGTGCTCATTTATGACCCACCGAAACTGTATATGAGAGAGTATGTGCATGTATGTGCGTGTGTGTGTATCCACAGAGCGTTGTTGCATGTTAGCATGGACAACAGATGTCTTAAAAAAACATCCAAGATATGTTTAACCTAATTGTTAACATGGCAGTTGAGTAGCATTCTCTGTTTTACCTAGATCATCCTCTTCCTTTTGCTCTCCGAACTGGCTTTTTCTCTACTGTCTAAATCGAATTAAGCCTTATTTCAGCCCAATTCCAAGTAATACAAGGAAGCTGCTGCTTGTTTCAGCGTTAGCACTCATCTCTCCTGAAACATCTATTCCTGTAGTCAGTAGTCTGCTCCATTTCATTATAACTTATTTCGTTACCAGGCAATATTTTTGGTACTAATACTGCAAAACTGACTTTGTTTCTGAGCTTTCTGTTTGACTTTATTGATGTTGATTTTGACACTAGATCATACTATATAAATTATTACTACTTTATAATATTTCTGTAAGTAAACGACAGGGCTGGCTCCTCTTCTAAACAACTTTGCAATGTTACTTTTTTTTTTTTTCCCCAAAATATTCTTACTCATTTAAAGTTAGTTTGAGTTCCAAGAAAGGTCCTGGTATTTTGCCTGGTACCCTGTTTCTTTAGTGTACTAAATATAACTTGACCCTTTTCTCAGTAACTTAACAATTATCATAGAGAAAAGTCTGTGATTCTCTATTTTGATCCAGTGATGCTCCTGGGATCTGTTGAGATTCATGAAGCTTGTGCTGTGTAAGTCCTATTCCTTGCCTAGTTTTTCTCTTTTATTGCTTGTTAGTAGTTTTCTCTGCTAGACGCCATTCATATACTTATGAAGACAGGTGACCAGCACATTAAAAATGTTTATAAAGCTATGGATAAAGAAACTTTGAACCAGAGTATCTCTAGGAGGTTATGTGTTTGTTTTGTTATGTTTTGTGTTTAAACTTTAAGAATATGAACTGCCTAAACGTATTTTGGCGTCTTGAGGCATTTTTCCTAGCTCTTATTTATTTTGAAAGGGTGTGATGAGCTGTATTTTAAGAAAATAAGTATGTTGTCTTTAACCAAGTACTAAAACTTAGATTATTTTATGTTTGGGGTGTCTAATAGTTGTACTTACTCTAATTTTCATAGATTATATTTGCAGTGTCTAATAGTTGTACTTATTCTAATTTTTAAAAATACAAGTTTACTAAATAAGCATAGTTTTTGTTTCTGTCATTTGTAAACTCTGTAGGATGGCTCCATGTTTCTTACTGAATCATTAAAATGCTGTTTCTCTGAAGTTGATTTTTTTTTCTTTTTTTTTTTTTTAATTTCTTTTTTTTTAACCTTGGTTGGCAACTTAGATGTCATTTTTTTTCCCCCAGTAACTACAGGATATCTATGATCTTGAATAGGGAAACGCTGATTCTTTAGCCCTGACTCCCTCTGAAGGGAGGCTTGTCTGGCTGGTGATAGATGACAGGGAAGAAGAGCCCAGGAGGCCACTGCCCTGCAGCTGCTAACGCCTGAGCTCCCTCAGGACATTTTCATCTCTCTTGCCTGCACCAGAAACAAAGTAGAGCCGTTCATTTACCCTTTACCTAACCACAGAATAATAGCTTAAATACTAAGTGTGTTTTGCATTTCAGGTTACGGTTTTGTGGATTTTGACAGCCCTGCAGCAGCTCAAAAAGCTGTGTCTGCCCTGAAGGCCAGTGGGGTTCAAGCTCAAATGGCAAAGGTGAGTTGAGAGCCGGCAATGGCTTCTCTCTTCCACAGCTTTGGTTGTGAAGCCCGACAGGTCTGCTTTTTCTATCGCATCCTTATTCTCTCCTTCATCCCACTCAGCACAGCTCCTTCTGGACACCTGTCCTATGCCTCTGCAGCTGCCACAGTCACTATTGTGCAGAGGACTGTTCCTCATAACCTATGAAGGAGGATTTGTAAATATATAAAATTTACATAGTAAATTATGTAACCCCATAAGTAAATTGAGAAATAGCAGATTTTCTTAGAAAATCAGGTACTTGTGAGTCTTTAAGATCTGTCCTGTTTAAAAAAAAAATTAAATGTCAATGCTTAAGAAATGTATATACTTCTAGTCATGTTTCAAAAGATAATTGTGTATAGCATGTTCCATTTCAAAAATATATATAACTGGCAGATTATACAACTATTAAAACAAGTAGTTTTAATGCAAATGTAAGTTACAGATGCTAATTTTTTGTACAGTACTGAGACATTTTTAGATATTGATTATTGATGAGATATAAATCTACTTTTCAGTAGTTTTATAATGCGTTTATTCAAGACTTGTTTCTGATGAACTTTTAGCATATTTTAGATGACCGATATTGTTGAAAATGTCTTCAGGTGAGGAATATGCCTGAATGTTAGGGGATTATAAAATGGGAGACCGTGTTTCATGCTTAATATGTATTTTAGCACAGCACACATGGATGTTAGTTATGATAAGATACATTTTCCTTGAAAACTTTCATGTTATGGTAGTTTCCCTCAACAGTTTTGACTTAGAATATCACAGTTTCTGAATGTAAATGGAGTTGACCAGCCAGTCATTGTGTCTTTCTCTTTGTATTAGGTTTGTCCTGAAAGTTAAAGATGCTCAGACCCTCTTCCAAAAGTAATGATGCCTTAGATAGACTTGATGGCCTTACAGAAGTTGGCTTTACATGATCTGAATCCCTAGTTCAGGTGCATTCATAATTCTAAAGCTAGAGGGACCCCAACCCCACTTTCAAATGGGCATGGCGTTTTTATTAAGTAGGGCCAGGGCTCAAAGAGGAGAGTCATCCTTGGAATGGCATGCATCTCTTAAGTGTTTATATTCTATAATATAAGTTCCATTATCCACCAAACACATTTAGGAGTCTCTGTTGAATAAACTGATATTTATGTCCCAGACTTTATTATCCAAATATAAGTTTGGGTTACATCCTAATGCCTACTTCCTGCAGTGCAGTTATTAAGACATCTGTTACGTAATGAAAATCTGAGTCCTTCAATTGCTACAGAAAATATTTGCAAGCCTGAAACTCAGCAGTTTGATCTTTTGAGTATTCTTTTTAAAAGAGCAACTCTTTTATATTATCTGGCTTCTTGAAGTAAAGAGGAAAGTAATTTTATACTGTCTTCTACCTCTGAATGGTAGCATAGAAGTAGACATTGCCATTTAGTATTTTTAAAACTTTACATTGGGTTGACTTACTTTAGATTTTCTTAAACTCCAAAGTAAGAAGTTAAAATAAACAGAAACTATATGTGTGTGTAAATAAACAGAAACCATATGTGTGTATGTGTGTGTGTGTGTGTGTGTGTGTGTCACACATTTTTTTTTTCTTTTTTTTGAGACAGAGTCTTGCTCTGTCACCCAGGCCGGAGTGCAGTGGCACAATCTTGGCTCATTGCAACCTCCTCCCACCAGGTTCAAGCAATTCTCCTGCCTCAGCCTCCCAAATAGCTGAGACTTCAGGCACCTGCCACCACATCCTGATAATTTTTGTATTTTTAGTAAAGACAGGGTTTCGCCATATTGGTCAGGCTGGTCTCGAACTCCTGGCCTCAAATGTTCCAACTGCGTCGGCCTCCTAAAGTGCTGGGATTACAGGCGTGAGCCACTGCACCTGGCCTCAGTAAATATTGAGCACCAAGATTTTCAGATTGTTTGTCCATCATTTGGAGCTTCCCTGTGGCATTATTGAAAGATGGTGATTATGAGGTTTTAAATATGTTTATTGTGACTATATGATACCTGCGTTGCATAATGATTTGCAGAATATTTAATCTGGTTCTGTAAACAATGGGTATCCAGGCGCTGTATAAGCAAGACTCTTGGCACACTCATAAATCTTTCCTCCACTGCCCATTCTATTAATAATAAAGCTCCTTGCTTTTGGATAAAATCCTGGGCAAGTCTCACGACTTCTCCAGCCACTGTCATTATTTCATGAAGTTCCCCCAGCTTCTTTCGTTTCAGGTGTTTCTGCTTGATTTTTTTTGTTCTGTTTTCAGTAGAATGCCTCAATTTTTCATAGCCAAACTCCATAAAGCATACATATGTTTCAATACATTTTCAGTCATTTCTGTCTATGTTTACATTGTCCAACCTCAGTACAATACTTTCAACAAGACATATGTGAAGACTCTCAAGTTGCTTAGCAAATACAGTTTGTAGAATGTCAGACTCATGTGTAAATGTTTTTAAAACTGCTGAGAGTCAATATAAGGGATGTGTGCCTTGGATATTGTTGGTGCTGAGAGAGAGAGATCATAGCCTAAGAAGCAATTGTTGGCTGACAACCATATTGATTATTTGGTGATCAGAAAGCCGTGTTTCCATCCCAACAGAACCATTTGTTATATGTGTGCACACACACGCAGAGACAGATGTAATGACTGTATTTAGTTGCATTTTAGGGAATTATGGAAAAATAGGAAAATAAAATAGTTATGTTTTAGAAAACTTGATTGAGGATTATGACTGTTGTGTAATACATTATAATTTTCCCCTATTTAACATAAGGTGAAATAGGCTCTCGGTTATCATTTCGATGTTGAATTTCTCATTTTCAGGAACAGATTATGATGTTAAGTGTGTGATGCTTATAGTTTAATACCCCAATACTGTTTATTTGGCAAAAATTTTGAGTATCATGTAGTAAATCATCAGCTGAAGCTTCTCCCTTCCCTGGATTAGGTCTGCGTCAAGTAGCAAGTTTATAGTGAGATGAGCACATGACTAATTTCTATGCTATTTCCAAAATTTGTGTTTTCCCCACTCTTCCTTCAGCTCACTAGCCATGGCTTCGTTTAACCCCTCCAGGGTTGGTGTGCTGGAAAAGGATGACCTGACAAAGAGGTCATCTGATGTTGATTTCTGTAGCCAGGCAGCGTGCTGATGCTTTCTCTCATGGAATGCTTTGGTTTTCTGAGATCTTTAACCAACTCCTCCAAATTGATCTTTGTCCTAAAGCTCCTTGAAGTGAAAGAATACATGTCCTCAGGTTCACATGCTCAGCTCCTGATAATCTGACCATCTTCAGCCCCTTTCTGCTGGGATTTCTTTGCTCCTCGAAGCAGCCTCCTTAAGAGGATCTAACACAACCCTGGGCCAACTCTGTGTGGCCCACATCTGATGTCCCTTTGCTAGTCATCGCTAAGAGAGAGTTACTTCCCAGTTTCACTTGTGGGCCCTTTAGCCTTTCTCCTTGAAGATTCGTTAGATTTTAAGTTGGACATCAATCTGTTGTAGCCACTCAGCTTCTTGAGACACAGATTAAGCTCCCTGAGTGGTCACCCCTCTTGCTTGACTGACAGTAAGAGGAAAATGGTTCAGTTGTTGAGACTTGGAACACCTCAGCATTTTCCTCCCAATAAATGCTCACCCTCAGTCTCTTCAGTTTCTTAGACACAGATAGGAGGTGGGTGGTCACTTAAGTATCCCAAACCAGTTCTCAGCCAGCTCCTTGTAGGCAATCTTTAGGTGGTCTAGTTTCTTACTCTGGAATATTGGAGCCTGACACTCAGTGTTTTGTGGTCTCTGCTGAAACAGAATTAAAAAGAGTTGTATTTTAGCAAAACCTAAAGTGCAATTAAAAAAAAAAAGAATGTATAGGCTTCATTCAGAGTGGCCCTTGAACACTTACCTAGGCATCATTTCCAATGCCTGTAATATTAAGTAGCATAGAATATTAAATACACACTGTTTTGAAGAAGCATTTATAATGCATTTATTCAAAACTGGATTGGGTATGGATTGGCACTGTATGTCATGTCTACAGTGCTCTTCAAGTAGTAGCTTTCCCCCAGGTTGAAAATGAGCACTGTTCAGAGACCTCTTTAGGAAGCTTGGTATTATAAATTGGCTAGGGAAAAGGACCCCTTCCTCCATCATCTGTGGTGAGGACAGGTACTCAGGTTCAGAGGTACTGACCAGGTGCCAATATTCTGCATATTGTGAATTTCTTTAGGTCCCTGTAGAATGACTTGAAATTCCTAGACCTGATTTCTTTTTTATTATATTATTAAAGTTACAAAAGATATTTTAAATGTCAGTGGGTTTATTGTTCTGTATACCATAGAACCATGAGTCTGAGTATCTAGACTTGACTTAGCCCCTTAATGCTGTCTGGATAAAGGAGCACCTGACACACATTCTTTCAGGGAGACAGTTTTTTTGTTTTGTTTTGTTTTTTGAGACAAGATCTAGCTCTGTCACCTGGGCTGGAGTGCAGTGGGGTGATCTTGGCTCCCTGCAACCTCTGCCTCCCAAGTTTAAGTGATCCTCCCATCCTCAGCTTTCTGAGTAGCTGGAACTACAGGCACATACCACCACACCTGGCTAATTTTTGTATTTTCTGCAGAGACTAGCTTTTGCCATGTTGCCAGACTGATCTTGAACTCATGAGGTCAAGCAAACCACCTGCCTGGGCCTCCCAAAGTGCTGGGATTATAAGCACGAGCCACCACACCCGGTGGGGAGATGATTTTTAAAAGGAATTTTAGTCCATCTCCTGGATGATAGGGAGGGAATCCATCACTTTCTACTTTCCTCTAGTGAACTAATCAGGATACTATAATGTGCTGAAAACTCATATTGCCATATGCCTTTCACTAGAGGAAAGTGAAAAGCGATGGGTCCCCTCCCTATCATCCTTATATAAGGATGAAAAAAATCTTTCATCCTTACATAATCAGAAAAAAAAATAAGGGCAATCACTTAGGGGATAGGCGGAGAAATATAATATTGTTTGAAATACTGGCTACCTGAGTTGAAAAAGAACGCCACAAATATTTAAAACTAAATTGCAAAACTGCAAATTTTGAGCATTAGAGACCGGTGATTGTTTTTTTATTCGTGTTTTAATTTTCAGTGCTTTGCTTGGTACCTGCCATATGGTAGGTTTTAAGTATTTGTTTAATTGATGATTAAATTAATAGAGAAAATAACTTTTTTCTAAGTTTGGGCAGCTATTGAGTATTAAGAAAGGAACAGTTAAAAATTGTATCCATCAAGTACGCTGATGAAACTTAACCAACAGTAATGGCCTTGGGCCTTTTGGAAAACCTGTTTATGTTAAACTAGGCAAATGTTACAAATGTGTGCATCTTTCAGATAAAAGACTCAGATTATATAAAAAGAAAAGAAACGCAGATAACGAGCTACAAAGACAGAAAAACAGAAAAATCGAATGGACATTGTTTATATCTATTAACAAAGTGACTTCTGTAGGTCATTCAGTCCCTCCTATGGCCTGATGAGGGTCAGCAAATCCTCTTATGTTGTTTGGCTTTTAGGAAGTTTACACATTTTTTTTTTCAATAAATAGGCGGTCAAACGAGCAGGAATATAATCCCCCCTCTCCATGCAGAACTCCACCATACTCTGAGCAGTTTGCAGTCACATTCCACTGAGTGGCTATCTGCTGGTTGGTGAACCTATTCTGTACAAGAGAAGACAGATGTCTGCTCTTTCTGCCAAGTCCTCGTTCTTGCATTTTAGGAACCGTACCACATGCATGGGGAGGTTTTGTTAATTTCTTTTGAATGATAACTGAGTGCTTCATGCTTTGCAGGACTCCTGAGCTTGGCTTTTCTTCTCACGTGAACCTTGATAGCTGTTTATCCCTCTCATGGCCAATGTGGGATCTAGTTTTCTACTTGTTTTTTTTTTTTTTTATTGCATTTTAGGTTTTAGGGTACATGTGAAGAACATGCAAGATTGTTGCATAGGTACACACATGGCAGTGTGACTTGCTGCCTTCCTCCCCATCACCTATATCTGGCATTTCTCCCCATGCTATCTCTCCCCAACCCGCGCTGTCCCTCCCCTATTTCCCCTAGACTTGTCAATAGAAGCCTTTGAACCCCTTCCATGCCTAGGGACAAAGGAGGCCCGTTGACACCATTTTTGTGTTTGGTCACCTGTAATTGAAAGAATAAGTGTTGTTTGTTTGTTTGTTTCAGACATAGCATTGTAAATAATAAACCAGTTACGGTTGTCACTTATTTTAAACATACTAAAGTATCCTCATTTCAAGAGCCACCACCTATTATTGCAAGTATTCTATGTCCTGTTCACAGTGAATGTGTGGTTATAAGAATGGATGAACAAAAACTAAAACGAAAGTAAAAATTTAAAAAGAAAAAAAAAAAAACATGAGAAGAAGGGATTTAAAAAAAAAGAATTTCATGGACCCTTTGTTATTTTGTAGCATGTGCTGCCAGCTTGGGAGTTTCTTCCCATTCTTTTTTTTTTTTTTTTTTTTTTTTTTTTTTAGTTACTACGACCTTGTGGGCAATGTTTGCAAGATATGTTGACCATTTGAAAAGAAATGTAAATAACGTTAGCCCTAAGGATCATCCCAAATGAAATTAGGTTTTTAACTGACAGGGCTGTCGCTACTGAAAACAAATGCATTAACATCATAGGAAATATTTATCTGCGTTAGTCTGCTCTGTTTCACTATATCAAAACGTGGGTTAAGAACACAGTTTCTTTCTGGATTCTGATTTTTAGCACTTTTTAATATTATTTCCTCATCAGTAAACTTTCAAGATGAATCAATAATTTAAAGCATGTGTAATATTTTAAATAATATTTTAATAACAGAAGCAAGTAAAACAGATTTAGTATGTACATTGTCGACCCCCTTCTAAAAATTCTTCACACATAACAAATTTTCCTATGAACATTCTTAAATATGACATTTAGATTTTCCTAATTGTAATTTTAAAAGAAAGTTCACTCCATATATATATGTGTATGTATATATGTATGTGTGTGTGTGTGTGTGTGTGTGTGTGTGTGTGTGTGTGGAGAGAGAGAGAGAGAGAGAGAAATAGTCTTACTCTATTACCCAGGCTGGAGTTCAGTAGTGTGATCACAACTCACTCCAACCTTGAACTCCTGGGCTCAAGTAACCCTCCTGCCTCAGCCTCCCAAATAACTAGGACTACACGTGTGCACCACTACACCTGGTTAATTTTTTTTTTTTTTAAAGAGATGAGGTCTTACTGTGTTACCTAGGCTGGTCTCAAACTCCTGGTCCCAAGCGATCCTCCCACCTTGGCTTATACTGGGATTTACAAGCATGGGCCATTGTGCCTAGCCTCACAATATTTTGATGTGTGTTTCTTCTGTAACATTTTTTATACCACATAACTGTCCAAAGGGTGTTTTAGTGCCCTTCAATTAAGGGGTCCCAACCTTTATTAAAAGATAGAACCTAAAATCAAATCTAAGATGGATTTAATCATATCATTCCCCTACTTCCATGCCTCTGAAACCTCCCTATTTTTCAAGATGTAGCTTTCAAACTGCAGTTTCTCCTTCCTCCCATTTCCGCATCACCTACCGGAGTACAATCATGTGTTGCTTAATGATGGGCATACAGTCTGGTGAATGCATTTTTAGGTGATTTTATCATCATGTGCACATCATAGAGTATACTTACACAAACCCAGATGGTGTAGCCTGCTATCCACCCAGGCTATGTGGTATAGCCTCTTGCTCTTAGGCTACTGTCCTGTACAACCTCTTACCGTACTGAATACTGTCAGCAGTTATAATATGATGATAAATATTTGTGTATCTAAACGTAGAAAAGGTACAGTAAAAGTATGGTATAAAAGTTAAAAATGGTGCACCTTATAGGGCACTTACCATGACTGGAGCTTAGAGGACTGGAGGTTGTTCTGGGTGAGTCAGTGAGTGAGTGATGAGTGAATGGGAAGGCATAGGACATTATACTGCTGTAGACTTTATAAACACTGTACACTTAGACTACATTAAATTTATTTTTTAAAATGTCTTTCTTCATTGATAAACTGGCTTATTTTAATTTTTTTACTTTATAAACTTTTAAATTTAACTTTTTGATTTTTTAATACTTAGCTTAAAACTGCTGTACAAAAATATTTTCTTTATACCTTTATAAGCATTTTTCTATTTTAGAATGTGTTATTACTTTCTAAACTTTTTTGTAAAAAATTAAGATACACACACATTAGCCAGGGCTACACAGAGTCAGGATCATCAAGATACCACCAGGTGATAGGAAGTTTTCATCTCTGTTCCAGGACCACCATCATATATGCCATCTGCCATTAACTGAAATGTCATTATGCAGCTCATGACTGCATGACATAACAAGATAAACGTGGCTTATCTTCCTGGAATATCAGTGTTGCTTACTGGTATTAGGTCCAAAACATTGTTTCTCTATTAAAGTAAACTTAGGAAGTAGATTGCAAAATGTACATGACTTTTTTAAAGTTAAAACACAAGACTTCAAGAACATTTTTACGTAATTATTCTCCTTGCTTAAGCACTGCTTAAGTAGGAAACTTGAAGCAGCAGTGACTGACAAAATCAAACCCTTTAGATAGCCTTTTGAAAGCCTCTTGACTTCTGTTTGATCCTCGGGTCCCAAGTCAATGCCATGTCCTCTGAACAAAGTATTTCCTCCCCCATCTACTCTTGAGTTTAGCTTTTCCAAGAGTCTAAAATTTGCCCTACCCAGAATTGACTATTGTATATGGCTTTGTGATTTCTTGTTTTCATTAAATTAGCTCTGTTTTACTATTGGTGATCATGACTCAAAAGTGGTATGAACTTTGCCATAGAGCACAGGATGGGAATTTGGGCAGAGTCCCCATTGGACTCTAGATGACTTGGTCCAGAATCCTTCATATATCTCTAAATTGAATTATTAGCAGTAATAGCTTCCTGCGCAATAGTGTGCCTGAAATGGACTCCTAAAAATAACAGTGGAGGAGAGGTCGGTTATTTTTAGAAATACTGCAAACAACTGAGAGTTGTGGTTCCATGAGGGCATCCTCTCCAACTCAGTAGTGCCATTTTCAGATCTGCTCACAAGGGCTTGGTGGGATCATGTCTGGCCTGTACAGATTGTCCAAGCTTCAGACACTGTTTTCAAGTGTCCAAGGTGACTTTGATGTTCTGTAGTTCCCATGGTCTCACTTTGTACTTTAAAAGGACCTGAGCAATGAAAGTAGCTAATAAAAATAGGTGTATTAACGTAAATATCTCACCTTCTGTTGGAAATTAATGAACAACACACTCTTCTCTTTTAGCAACAGGAACAAGATCCTACCAACCTGTACATTTCTAATTTGCCACTCTCCATGGATGAGCAAGAACTGGAAAATATGCTCAAACCATTTGGACAAGTTATTTCTACAAGGATACTGCGTGATTCCAGTGGTACAAGTCGTGGCGTTGGCTTTGCTAGGTAAGCCTGCTGCCCTGTCTTTTTTATGTCAACAGCAATAGCTTTGCCAAGTTATCTTGGAAAATTAAAAATGACCAAGAAGAGAAAGTTTAAGCTAGTGTTATGGGAGCAGTTGCACCATGAACTTAAATTACATGTAAATACTGGACTGCATTTTTCCAGATCTTTTGCATGTTCATTAGAATTCATAAAGCCGAGCACACGAAATATTTGGGGCCTCATGGAAAGGAGCTATCACATGAGCAAAAAGTTCTGAACATGTGTGGGTCCTTAGATCACAATGCTTCTAACTTTTTAAAAATAGCAGTCTCCTAAATTTCGTAGATAAATCAGTTTGTTTTTTCTTATTAGATGGAAATTCAATGCATCAGTAAAGTAAATGAGTTAGGTTTTAAAATGAAATACTTAAAATATTCAGAAAAGTAAAACAAGGACATGATACCTGTGTAACCACCACACAGATTTGACAAATACTAACATTTTATAATTTCTGTTTCAGATCTTTTTTTAAAGAAATTAAATCTAGGCCAGGCATGGTGGCTCATGCCTGTAATCCCAGCACTTTGGGAGGCCAGGTGGGCAGATTATTTGAGGTCGGGAGTTCAAAACCAGCCTGGCCAATGTGGCGAAACCCTGTCTACTAAAAATACAAAAATTAACTGGACGTGGTGGTGGCAGGTGCCTGTAAATTACCAGCTACTTGGGAGGCTGAGGCATGAGAATCACCTGAACCTGGGGAATGGAGGTTGTAGTGAGGCAAGATCACACCATTGTACTCCAGCCTGGGCAATAGAGCAAGACTTAGTCTCAAAAAAAGAAAGAAAGAAAGAAAATCTTCTGGGGCTGCACGCAGTGGCTCACGCCTATAATCCTAACACTTGGGCAGAGGGGCCAAGGTGAGAGGATCGCTTGAGCCCAAGAGTTTGAGACCAGCTTGGGCAACATAGCAAGACCCTGTCTCTACAAAAAGTTAAAAAATTAGCCAGGAATGGTGACATATACCTGTAGTCCCAGCTGAATGGGAAGCTGAGGCAGAAGGATTGCTTGAGCCCAGGAGTTGGAGGATACAGTGAGTCCTGATGATGCCACTGCACTCTAGCCTTGGTGACAGACCCTGTCTCTCAAAAAAAAGTCTAGGTGTAACTAAAGTGCCCTCACTCCTTCCATTTAATTTTTATCCTTTCCTCCACAGGAAAAAAAAAAATACTTCAGAGTAGTGGTTATTTTGGTTCCTGGTGGAAAAATAATAAATAGAGCTATGATTTTTATCAGAATTCTAATCCAAAAGCCCATGTATAAAAGCTGATTTTTATGTGATGCATTAATTAGAAACTGTGCAATAACAAATAATGTGTACATATTTTAAAGTATTGACTTTGATTTTATGGGAAAAATTTCTGAGAGTTTACTTTTATACACAAATGACAATCACATTTTACCAGAGACCTGTGATATATCAACAAAGTATTATTATTACATGTTGTTTTATATATAAGAAAATTGAGACAAGAAGGGAACTTTTCCATTGTTACCTAACTGCGAAATAATGAAGCAGGGGCTAATACTTGCTTCAGCTGGATTTCAGTTCATTGCTCTGTCGGGTCAGATAATTTTATCATAAAACTAAAATATCCTACTAGTAGAAAGTCACAAAGGCCAGCATTTCCAGTGCATGCTCCACTGGTTAAAATGATGCAAGTGAGTCACTGAATAGCTCAGCATTATCTTGTCACCTCTGTGGGTGTTCTGAAAACAGATCAAGTTGTATCATTTCTGTATCCAAAGACAGAATTCAATTAAATTACATTGTTTTTTGAAACTATCACTGTTTCTTAAAACTAAGGTGTAACTCTCTGAGCAGTCTAGGAGTATAGAGCATTTTAAGTAGATTATTCAGTGTTTCTTCCATTAAAGAAAAATAACTTGAAATAATTTAAGTCCCTAGCAATGTTTCTCATATACTTTCAGCCACCTGTGTGTATAGAATAAGTTGTAAAGTTAGTACGACTTTACTTCGCCTTTACTCTTCCAAAGGCAAGGTAACAAAGAAAGTATACAGTTGATTTCAATAATTTAATTTTAAACCTGAAACAAATCTAAGAAACATATAGGGCACGCCCTCTCACTGACACCGGTTGTTATCATGACTTTTTAGTGTGTCATTTTGTGAATTGTAAAGGCAAAGACAATTTTAAAATGACTAGTATCTTAGCAAGTAGAAAATGCACTAGTATTTTAAACTGTTGTTTCTTCAATTCAGTATTACGGCTAACAAAGCTATTGTATATTGATTTTTCAATTTTACAACAATTAGAATAAAATAATTCATTTGATATACTTGGTCTTAAACATTCTCGACATAATGGAGTCTTGCTTTGCTTCAGAATATACTCTATGGTTATCAGTTATCATTTTACTATAGAAGTACAAAAGCAACACTTAGCTAAAAGGTAGAATAAACCCTTTATCATATTCACATTTTTACTAGGTTTCATTTGCATCCAAAAAACCTATAAGACTGTTTATGCATGCACAGAACAAGATGAAAAATAAGAGACCTTTAAATATTTATGTATTCTATTTTTATGTATAAATAGGATGGAATCAACAGAAAAATGCGAAGCTGTTATTGGTCATTTTAATGGAAAATTTATTAAGACACCACCAGGAGTTTCTGGTATGTTGTTTGTCTAAAACTTTATCAATAGTCTTCTATATGATGTATGTATAACTTTAGCACATGTTGACTCTTCAATAGAACAAAAACCCCCCATTTTGCTAAGATGCATTTTGTTGGATTTACAAATAAGACTTAAAAATTCACCTCTCCCTAGGGATTGGATGCTTAAATATTAACGGAAGCAGTGGTAAGGAGCTGACTTGTGAGGTGTTGTGCAGTTCACTCCTCTTTTGATGCAGCAGCCAGCTTCTAAACCATCTTATCACCATTCTCAGTAAACCTCTCTTCATTCAATCATATCCGTTGAGCAATGTACCCTTCTATCTCAGCAGTGCTTGGACCTCAGCTCCTATGGCTTTTACGTCCACTCCATTTTAGCCACTTTCTCCCATGGTTTTACTTTGTGTTGTCATTACCAAGAACACCATACTTCATAGGTTTTTCATTCCAAGGTCATCGTTCTTATTCCATGGTTTGTTCATCCTCCTTTACCTGTTTCTTTCCTACTAAATCTGGCCTCCATTTTTGAGTGTCAAAATCATTTCTGAAGTGCGATTCTCCTTTTTCTTGCACCCCATCCCTTGGTTACACTAATGTCTAGGTTCAAAATGCTGACCTGGATTAATCCTGCCATAAGTCACCCACACCAGTCCTGTTACATCCATGCAGCCAAAGATCGACACCACCAATTAAATGTCTTCAACTTGACCAGTTGCTCAGCACCGCCAGTCCTCACTCTGCTTTCTTACCCTTCCTAGCAGCAGTTCTCAATTTTCCCAGCCTACTTGCCCCATACCTAACCCACTTCAAAGCTCCCAAGTGGATGACTTCACTTCCTTCTTGATGAATAAAATTGAGATCACCGGGTAGTAGCTCCTTCAGCTTCCTGCTTTCTCCCAGCAAGAGGACCTACACCCACATCCAGTCTTACCACTCTCCTTTCTTAAAGTCTCAAGGAGAAGGGCTTCGAAGCTGTCCTTGAGATTCCATCCTATTGAGACATTGCTCTGCCAATCACTGCCTCCCTCTCCTGTAATTTCAGTCTCTGTCTTTTGCTTTTGTTCATTTGTTTTTCAGCAAAGCCAAGAAATTTGCTTTTCAGTTACTGAAGTCACAGATACATAGCAAGACTAATTGGTGAGGAAATGGGGGGAAATGTGCAAACAAGTAACACTGGGAACAAAACTTGTCAACATAACTACAATAGACGTTTTTTAAATCCCAGGATTCAGGGAACAAAAACTATGAACTACTCATGCCAGAAATATTCAAGAAGATAGCCATTTATGAAATCATTCAAGTCTTTGCAATCTAGAAACTAAACTAAGCACTCCGGTTCTTTAGAACACCTTCTCATGTCAACATTTTTGAAGTTTAGTCTTCACTTCCTTACTTCCCATTTATGCCTCAGCTTTCTCCATTCTGACATCCCTGGTGTGCAGTTGAAATTCCTCTTGGTAAACTTATAGTGTTGGTTTGCCAAACAGCCATAATAAAGTACCGCAAGCCAGGTGGCTTAAACAACAGAAATTTAGCGTCTCAGAGTTCTGGAGGTCAGAAGTCCAAAATGAAGGTGTTATTAGGGTTGCTTCCTTCTGAGGGCTATGAGGGAAGGCCCTGCTCCAGGCCTCTCTCCTTGGCTTGTAGATGGCTGTCTTCTCCCCGTATCTCCTCAGAGCACCTTCTCTCTTTGTGCATCTGTCTCTGTGCCTAGATTTCCCTTTCTTAGGAAGACCCTAACCATCTTTGATGAAGCCACCCCGCCGACCCCTGTGATCTCACTTTAACTTTGATGACCCTGTCTGTAAGTAAGATCACATTCTGAGGGCTGGGTGTTCAACCTGGAACCCTTACTTCTTGATTGCCCCCTCTGGAGAATTTCCCCTCTTTTTATCCTGTGTCTGTCTGCTGTATGTATTTGGGACTGCTGGTCCCTCACTCATCCATTAAATGTGTCCTCCCTTGACTTATTTTACACCTGTCTGTTTTCTTCCCATCTTGTGTTGATCCCTTCCCTTTTGTAAACTTGATTCTTCTGTCTGCTCTTAATTGTTAGTGTTGCCCTGAATTCCATTTTTGGCTCAGGATTCTGATAATTTTATCTACTCTCAAGGTTTTAACTACTGCTTACATGCATAGTCACTGACTCTCATTTCTCTCTCATCCTGGCTGTTCCCCTGAGTTTCAGACTGCCTGGCCTCAGTTACCTTACATTCATCTTCTCCAAAACTGCCCAAGTCCCCTTCCCTCACTTGCCATCTAATTCTGCTCTTCCTCCTGTTTTCCTACTCTCCATTAGTAGAACCCGTATCTACCCAGATACCCAAGCCAGGAACTCAGGACTGGACTTCCCCACCTCCTCTGTCCTTTATATCTCACATACAAATAATCATTCAAGCCCCTAAATTTTTCTTCCTGATTATTTCTAGAACCTACTCTCTCCCTCTATTTCTCCTATCATTGCCTCGTTTAATTTCGGATCATCTCTCATCTGTACTATTGCATCAGCCTCCTCATTCCCTGCCCTATCTCATCTTATTTCTCTAAGATATTCTCCCTGACTGTAGCCAGAGAGATTTAGATAAAATATACACCTCCATGTCACTTTATTCTTAAAAATCCACCCCCTCTCAGGAGGAAAGATCGAGGTTTCCTGGAATGACATGGAAGACCAAAGGTGACTGGAGTCCTTGCCTACTTCTGCAGTCCTGTCTCCCTTCATCCTCTGTCTTCCTGCGTACCCTCCTCCAACACTGAACTACAAACGGTATCCCCAACACAATGCGCTGCATCATTTATCTGGGCTTTCTGAACTCTCATGGTATCCAGTGGCCCAGATCCCTTTGGTTTCCTTTAGCCTGGCTCTCTCTTCCTCAGCCTTCAAGACTCTGCTCACAGCTTGCCTCCTCCCTGCAAGGACCTCCTCTGACCCATTGGATTATGCTCTGTCTGCAAATCATCACCTCGAGGTCACCTCCCTGTAGTATGGAATTCAACGTGTTTGCATATGTCAGTCCCACTAAACTGGAAGCTCCTTGAAGGCAGAAACTGTATCCTCAGTTTTTTATTTTCATGCCCACCACAACATTTAAGCCATACTATACAAGAACAAATATTTATTGGTTTTGAATAAATTTTACTACACTATAACACCAAGATACTACTATGTCCTTAACAAGCTAGCATATGGGAGAAATTGAAATGTCTTCTGATCTGATTTGCAGCCAGCCAGTAGCATGCTGCCTTCCAGAAGGGAGAAAGTTTCAAAATTTAGAAACCACATCACCTTGCTTTGAGGGGGAAGTAATAAAATTGTTAAAACAGGGAAAAAGAAAAAAAAGCCACATACACCCTCCTCCATCTTTCCTCCCCTGTAATTTTAGTCATAGTATGCTTAGCTGGCATATACATCTGTAATTCCACTTCCCAGTCTATCCCAGATCAGCAAGGCTTCATTGATCTTTTGATCCACATAAGCTAAAAGCCCCATTGTCCAGCTTCTGCCCAAATATGCCCAAGGGTTAAAGTTGAGGTCTCACTTAGTGTCAGGTGCAGGTCTGGAGAGGGAGCCTTGAATTGCTACTCTGGCCACCTGTTTGTTGGAAACTCTTAAGTGGGTTAGCCATATCAACAAGATTTATCCCAAATACTCAGGCTGGGAGAGCAGACACTCATGCTCATCTCTGAATGGGGGAGACATCTCTAAAATGAGCAACTGCCGCAGAATCCACAAGAACTAGAACAGAGTGCCCCATTTGCCAAAGCACAGATTTTTGCCACTCTTTCTATGCAAAAATACGTATACACTGAAGTTAATAGATTCAGTGAATTGAACCTTATTAAATAACATGAAAAACAGGTCAGGCCCAATCTTGAAAGCAAGCACAGAGGCCATAGAGAATATCTATCCCAGTTTTTCACATGAGAGACAGCCAGGAAACATTGAGGTGTTTTGAAGTTAGATTCATTCCAGCCAGAAGTCATTGAAGTGAGCAGTTTCTCCAAGGCTGTGCATGTATAACTACTGTTTAGTATTTATTCTGCTGTAGGTCCACAGTTTTATCTTTAGCTAGATGACTGATGAGTACCATTAGAAATTCACTTTAATTTTCTGTATTCGGTTGCGCTTCATTTCATAGAGAAACTAATTTGTATGTGCAGTTCCACAGGCTACACCTGATCTTGTAATGCTAAAACCTGAGAGCACACTACATTTGTGACTGTATCTGAAGTTGAACTGCTTACATGCACAAATTTGGAGCATCAAATATAAAACCTGGAAGTACATTATTCCCAGAAACTCAATCTGGTGAAAGAGCTTCCTTTTTTTTTTTTTTAAGTTAGTATTGCTTTCCCATCGACATCAGTAGAGTTGAAAAAAAACGGACAGAGAAAATAATATTTTTAACTTCTCCCCAAGTAAAGACAAAAGAAATTTTGTATGTGGGAGCCTTCTGTAAACCCTACCCTGCCAGCCTCTGGCGTTGAGCACCTGTGCCCAGCTGGGGTTTTCTTGCTTCTACTGTGTCAGCCTTTGCATGAGCAGGGCCCCACACATTACTCCCTTTGAACCTGCTCATCCACCTACATGTGACGTCTTCACTTTCTTAACTCATTCTTGTGTGCAACAAGCAAAGTTTGAGAAGGAAAATTATCTAGGAAACTTTCATTTTGATGGTATATCAATCTAAGATGAGATCTTCCATGTCGAAGGATTGGTTTGCTAAATTAATAACAACAACAAAAGATCTTCATTTCCTTGAGTAAAGTAGATCTCAGGGTGTCACAGATCAAGGTTAGACAGTCTCTTTTTTTCCTTAAGGAACTTCTTGGTTTTATCATTTAACTGTTTTCTTTGAAGTAGGTTTGCAGACTGTTGGTCACATCCATTCAAGGAAGGAAAAGAAAGCCCTAGATTTTCAAACCACATGTAAATGATCATAGGATCCTCGGCACGTTTACAGCTAGTAGATAGTAGTTTCTTCCAAGTTGTGCCA